AACATGAAAGTCAGTAGATTTAAATATGCCATCCAATTTAGGTGGGAATTATTCATTCCACTATGGATTTGTAAGCCTGAGATTTTGACACACAACTTGGGAAAATATGTTTAGATGTGTTTCTTTTCAGTGAGCAGGCTAAAAATTAGAGAGACTTCAAACATTTTTCTTTCTTGCGTCTTTCTTCCTCTCAAATCAAAAAAATAAATAACAGAATCTCCTGCCGCTGTAGGAACCGCCTACTTCAGTCTTCCATCAGTGAACTTGGATAATCTTTCTGGCATTGTGATCTTTTCTTACATCAGTATATTCCTTTTCTTTCATAGCCTGAAAACCCAGGTATTATGACATGTGGAACTGTTCTTTTAAGTCAGGATACATTGGTTGTTAATGCCATTATTTAATAATTCTTTCAGATTCACTTTACTCATACCTGGCCTTCTCCCTGTGCTTTAAGCTTATTTTTTGTGTTAAAAGTGGTCCAGAGAAGCAGCCATTAACTGGGGGGTTAAGGAAAAAAAACAAGAATTTGCATGAGAAATGAAATGTAGTCTTAGAGTACTAACTATGTGGTTCAGCTATGAACAGCGTTTACATTATCGTATTAATAATGTAAACTCTGAATGAATATTGATATAACCAAAAATCAGTATTTTCCCATGACTATATTGAGAAAAGCCTGTGTGTGGTGAGGGAGTTGCAAGAGATATCTTATGTCAGTAGACATATTTTATAAAATTTAAATAATGAAAAAAACTGGCATATCTAAAGAAACAAGCCAAAAGAGTTGACAGTAATTATCTCTGATATGTTGAAAACTGAGATGGGAGGATTGGAGCAGTGAACTGCTGTGTTTTTCTTACAAACTTTAAAAACTACGTGCTTGTATTATTTTTATAGAATAAAATGAAAGAGGTAACACAGGATTGTAACAGAGCCTAATAAATTAAATGTTCTAATCATAGATCTTAGTACAGCTACATTAAAAGTTGAATACTTTCCCCTAGCTTCTGTTTTCAAATATATTCTAATTAGAATAATATGGGTATATCTTTTGTCTTCTGGACCCAGTAGGTTGTTTAGAGTATTACATTTAATATGCTCTTATTTTTTGATGAGTGTTGTGTATTTCAAATGCAACATAAGCCCTAGCTGAGTTTATTCATTCAGTTCAGTTCAGTCACTCGGTCATCCGACTCTTTGTGACCCCATGAATCGCAGCACGCCAGGCCTCCCTGTCCATGACCAACTCCCGGAGTGTACTCAAACTCATGTCCATTGAGTCGGTGATGCCTTTCAGCCATCTCATCCTCTGTCATCCGCTTCTCCTCCTGCCCCCAATCCCTCCCAGCATCAGGGTCTTTTCCAATGAGTCAACTCTTCGCATTAGGTGGCCAAAGTATTGGAGTTCAGCTTCAACATCAGTCCTTCCAGTGAACACCCAGGACTAATCTCCTTTAGGATGGACTGGTTGGATCTCCTTGCAGTCCAGGGGACTCTCAAGAGTCTTCTCCAGCACCACAGTTCAAAAGCATCAGTTTTTCAGCACTCAGCTTTCTTCACAGTCCAACTCTCACATCCATACATGACCACTGGAAAAACCATAGCCTTGACTAGACGGACCTTTGCTGGCAAAGTAATGTTTCTGCTTTTTAATATGCTATCTAGGTTGGTCATAACTTTCCTTCCAAGGAGTAAGCATCTTTTAATTTCATGGCTGCAATCACCATCTTCAGTGATTTTGGAGCCCCCCAAAATAAAGTCTGATGCTGTTTCCACTGTCTTCCCATCTATTTCCCATGAGGTGATGGGACCAGATGCCATGATCTTAGTTTTCTGAATGTTGAGCTTTAAGCCAACCTTTTCACTCTCCTCTTTCACTTTCATCAAGAGGCTCTTTAGTTCCTCTCCACTTTCTGCCATAAGGGTAGTGTCATCTTCATATCTGAGGTTATTGATATTTCTCCTGGCAATCTTGATTCCAGCTTGGGCTTCTTTCAGCCCAGCGTTTCTTATGATGTACTCTGCATATAAGTTAAATAAGCATGGTGACAATGTACAGCCTTGACGTACTCCTTTTCCTATTTGGAACCAGTCTATTGTTCCATGTCCAGTTCTAACTTTTGCTTCCTGACCTACGTATAGGTTTCTCAAGAGGCAGGTCAGGTGGTCTGGTATTCCCATCTGTTTAAGAATTTTCCAGTTTATTGTGATCCACACAGTCAAAGGCTTTGGCAGATGCTGGTTATTCAAAAATAATAATTTTGTCTTATTATTAAAAACATTCTTCTGAATATACCTTATTTCTTGCCCTCGTCCCTACAGTGATATCATTATCCCTCAGAAACTTTGGCAGCTAGTATTTTATCAAATAGTAGAATGAAGTCAGTAATGTACCCTAAAAATCAGATTTTATTATTTGTCAGTATTTTTAAGCAGCTATTTCTCATAAAGCAGGACTACCATAGGTGTCTTCTGTTTTTCTCTTGCATTTACTGAGTATGATGATCTGTTCAGAAAGAAGCTTTGTGTTTTTATGCTAATAGGAGAGGGCTTGGACTTTTCTTTCTGTTTAATAATCAGTTAAGGAAACATGAAAGGTAGAGATTTATGGAAAGATTTTATTGGTTCATTGATACTGCTGGGAGGAACAAAAGACAGCATACACATTTCTGTCATGTAGCACTCCCGCTAGTCAGAACTCAGTCAGCTTATCAGTCAGTCCAGGGAAAGTCTCAATTTGAAATTTCCAAATAGTTATTACTATAGCTCACATTTATTGAGTGTTCTTATGCCCCGGGTACTTATTAAAGAGCTTTCATGATACTGTCTCATTTAATCTTCCCGCCAATGCTTTGAAATATTTTATGTGTAAGATGAATATAACCTTTTATTTTAAATCTTAGGGCAGGTTAATTTTTATAGCAGTTTAATCGTTTAAGTTGAGCTGGATACTTGGAGACATTTTCTTGCTCTGTTATATTATGTATGGAAGGTAAAAAACTATTTTAGAGCCACACGCAGGAGGCTTCTGCAGGTTTTAGTATAATTGCAGATATTTTTATAGTCATATTTGAAGCCCTAGAGTTAAGATTTTTAGTCAAATTGAATATAAATATGAGACATTCTATACTTCCTTAGATAAGGAGATAAAAATATGACTGTTTTTCTAATTTAATGAAACATTGATAGGATTGAAAGCATAGGTGTTGGCAGAAAGGGTACATTTAACAAAGTGATTCTAAAATTTACCTAGAAAGAGTTAAATATCTGAGAATCATCTAGAAAAATTCAAAAAGAAGAGTAATAAGAATGGCTTCATCCTAGTAAATATTAAAGTATACTTTGGGTATCAGAGCATCAAGTGCCTTGCCAGACAAGCAGATCCACGCTCCAGAACATTTGGAAGTTCAGTAATAGCACATGTAAAGGTGACATCTTAAATCAGGGCTATAAACTATTCAGTAATAGGTTCTGTGATATAGGTCACTTCTACACGTGTTAAGCCCAAGACAGATTTCATATGAACTAAGGCTTTTATTGTAAAAAATAAAAGTATGAAAAGAAAGTGTTAGCAACTATATAATCTTTTTGTGGGACAAGGCTGCCTAAGAAGGATATCGAAAGCAGGTTACATAAAGGAATAATATTACTTGATTTTCTGTATAAAATTAAAAGCCTTACTACAAAACACCACTTTTAAAATCAAAGACATAAAGCCATAATAAAAGTTAATACCTACGACCAACATGAGACAAAGCATTGTTACCTTTAATATAGAAAAGAACCTTTTAAAGAAATATGGAATATTAACTCTCCCAAGAGAAAGCTGATCAAAGAACATATGCAGTCAATACTAATATAAAAATCAGTAAACAAATTGTAAAATATTTAACATCAGAAGTAATTAAATAAATGAAAATTGTTACATGATATTAATCATATTAGCAAAGATTAAAAACAATGATAGTGTTCAGTGTTAGTGAAAGGAAAGAAAAGTGGATATTCTCATATACTGTTGGACTGCTGGCGACTGTTAATTGGCACCACTATTGCTGAAGACAATTTGGAACTATATGTCAAAAATCTTGATATTTATATATTTTCATCTAGCATATCTGTGTGGATGATGATGCTTAAGAAGCAGTTAGAAAACGGTTCAAAGATACGTGAGGATAAATATTTATTTCCATATTAGTAATAGTATTAGGCTAACATGTACCATATGAGACTGCTCAAACTAAGAACAACTGAACAGTGGAATACTACACAGGCATGAAAAGTAAAGGTGCAAAACTTTACTTAGTGCGTTAAATACCTTTTCCAATATATCAAGTGGGAGAGAGGAAAACAGATTTCAGAGTGGTAGAGAAATACTCTGTTTTACTTGGTTTTTGGTTTATATTCCTCATGTATTTTTACATGAGGAAAAGTCTGGAAGCATGAATGCCAAAATGTTAATTATACTGACCTCTGGATATGAGATTTAATATGATTTAAAGTTTATTTCTTCTCTTAACTGTTTTTCTCCCATTCACCAAACTTTTATTGAGCTATTGCTGTCACTAGCCATTGTATTTTCTGATATGATAAAATATAATTTGTACAATGAAAATTTGATGTCATTTTAGGAAGGCAATTACAAATTAGAAATATTTTCATTAAATGAGATAATGTCTTGGTCATTAAAGTAGTATGTTCAGTTATTCATTTCTTTGGACCACTTTATTCAGGAAAAGTGCAGGATAAAATGTGGTATTAGTTTAATGTGCTGAAGCAGCGAAAATGATCCTAATAAGAGACATTTTTTTCATGTGTATGTAACACAAGCTGTCTATACTGAACATAGTCCTTCTTGGGGAAGGAGGGATGTTGATTGCATGGTCTACACTGCTTTGTATTTGAATCAGAAATAAGGTTCCTGTAGGTTCATTGCGAAAAGAATGGGTTTTTCATTGTGAGTAGCCGTAATTGCCTGCTGTCGACTTTCTTAATTTCAGGCAACTGCAGGAGCAGCAGCGACAGAAGGAGCTGGAGCGGGAGCGGCTGGAGCGGGAGAGAGTGGAGCGGGAGCGGCTGGAGCGGGACCGCCTCGAGCGCGAGCGGCTGGAGCGGGAGCGCCTGGAGCAGGAGCAGCTGGAGCGGGAGCGGCAGGAGCGGGAGCGGCAGGAGCGCCTGGAGCGGGAGCGGCTGGAGAGGCTGGACCGCGAAAGGCAGGAGCGAGAGCGGCAGGAGCAGCTGGAGCGGGAGCAGCTGGAGTGGGAGCGGGAGCGGAGAGTATCGAGCGCCGGTAAGACAAGTTTAGACTCTTCTGTATTCCTGATGTCTGAGCCTGCTGGTGTTTGGTGGAGTCGTAAATTGGGAAGAATATTTAGCATCTGAGATTCTTGGGATTAAGCAGTACAATTCGAAATTAGAAAAAATATGTGGCAATTGCTACTTTATCTTTTTTTTAAAATTTATCTCTGTGTTGCTTTTATTGCTTGGAGACTTAAAGCTCTTGGAAAATTTTATTCTGGCATTCTAATTCTTCTAACTGCCTATAAATTGGCTTTATATAAAGTGTAAATTATTTTCATGGGAAATTTTTTGTGTTAGATGAATTTGGAATATATTTCCCTTTTGAGGTTTCTTCAATTTTCTTGAATACTGTAGCTTTCCAGAAATTTGCTTGACTGTGTTTGTTCTCAAGTTTTTGAAGGAGGAATTAAAAACAGCAAGTTAAAAAATACTGTCTCTAAAGCTAACTAGTAATGTTAAATGTATTTTAATATTGTGAAAAATTAGTGGAAATTACTAAATATGATGGAATTTTATTGAAGGACATAAGGGTAAAGATATGACTAAAAATTCGAGATATTTTGACATTCATTAAAATGAACATTTATTATAGGATTTAAGAATTTTTCTATTCCATATGATCTATAGCTAAAGTCTCAATGTGGGTTGATTAAATATTGATTGGTTTGTTGAGTTAATTCATTTGTTTTGATTGCCTAGTTATTTTCTGAGATTATAGTCAACTTTTCCACAAATGATCATTGAATTTGGGGGTTTCTAGCCCTTGCTGATGAACTTTTTGCTAGTTTCTCTTTATTATTTTTAAAAAGCAACTTATTCTTCTTTGTGATCTTATTCATGTAATGTTAATGTCCTTTTAGTGGATAAAATAATGAAGATTAAGAATAAGCTAATCAGTTTAATTTACTGATTTGTTACTTGATTTAAAGAAAACATACTGTCTTGGATCTCAACATTTATAAGTTAAAATGTTCTTGAGTGAAGTCAGGTATTTGCACATGTGCTTTAATTCTCTGGAACTAACTGTAGTCTACATTTGTACATTTTGTCTGAATGCTGGTTTTGTGGCTTTACTAGCTCCCTTTTTCTCTCTCCTTTTTTATCCTGTCTTTCGCCGCTGCTTTCTACCTCTGTCCAGCTCCATCCTCCGACAGCTCCCTGTATAGTGCTCCACTTCCTGAGTATGCCAGTTGCCAGCCTCCTTCAGCACCTCCTCCATCATACGCTAAAGTCATCTCAGCTCCAGTGTCAGAGGCCACTCCTGAATACGCTGTAGTGACCGCTTTGCCACCTACTTCCACACCCCCTACACCACCACTTCGACACTCCGCGACACGTTTTGCGACATCTCTAGGTTCAGCCTTCCACCCCGTTCTTCCCCACTATGCTACAGTTCCTCGTCCTCTGAACAAAAACTCTCGACCTTCTTCTCCTGTGAACACACCCTCTCCTCAGCCTCCAGCTACGAAGCCCTGTGCCTGGCCTACTTCCAATTTTTCCCCCCTCCCTCCATCTCCTCCAGTAATGATTAGCAGCCCCCCAGGCAAAGCCACTGGTCCAAGGCCTGTCCTCCCCGTTTGTGTCTCTTCTCCTGTGCCCCCGCTGCCCCCCTCACCAACAGCACCCAACGGGCTGCTCGACTCTGTCCCGCACCCCGTGTCTCCGCCGCCTACCTCAGGGCCGCCGCCGCCGCCACCGCCGCCGCCACTGCCTCCCCTGGCGCCACTCTCGCACTGTGGATCTCAAGCTTCTCCTCCTCCGCCTCCGAGCACCCCTCTTGCCTCAACTCCCTCATCCAAGCCTAGTGTTCTCCCTTCTCCCTCTGCAGCTGCCCCTGCCTCTGTGGAGACTCCTCTAAACTCTGTGCTGGGAGACTCCTCTGCTCCTGAGCCAGGCTTGCAGGCAGCCTCTCAGCCGGCCGAGACTCCAGCCCAGCAGGGTAAGGCTTCCCTTATCGCGACTAACCATTTGCTAACCCCCTGAAAATGTCTCACCCCACACAGCTTCACTTCCCTAGGAGAGTGGGGATGATGGCTTTGAAAAAGTTGAAGGTGGGTTTCTTTCTGTTGGATTGATTGCATTTGGAGGATCAGTAGGAGGAATTTCCCTGTTGAGCTAGATTTGGGTTCTTCTGCAGTGTTGGAGGTGTTTTTCCGTGTTTCAGGGTCTCTGTACATTTCTCTGAATAATCATTGGGAAGACATTACTAGACACATTAATCCACACAAAAAATGTATAATCAAACGTGTCTTCCTTTCATTTCTGGGAAATACAGAGATTACATATAGTGCCCAACTGTAGTCATCAGATCTGTGTCATCCAGGAGTCTCCTCTGGGACAGTGCTGATCTTGGACCCTGTTTCTTTTTGGCCCCTCCTGTATGCATTGGGCTTCTCATGTCAGACTTCCAGGGGTGGCTGCCACCCTAAACCATGGGGAGCATCCCAACTTTGCACAGAGTGGGGAGAGGGCAGTCGTGATGTGTGCCCCAAAGGATTCCATGGTCCGGACTGTAAGACGGGGCAGCATGTAGGCATAGTTGGGAGATGGTAGCATCCCCCGCAGGCATCCCCCTACTCCCCATACTGTCTCAGTGACAGGGAAGGGGGTTGTAATCGTCTGCTGCTGCTGCTGCTAAGTCACTTCAGTCGTGTCTGACTCTGTGCGACCCCAAAGACGGCAGCCCACCAGGCTCCCCTGTCCCTGGGGTTCTGCAGGCAAGAACACTAGAGTGGGTTGCCATTTCCTTCTCCAATGCATGAAAGTGAATATGAAGTCACTCGGTTGTGTCTGACTCTTAGCGACCCCATGGACTGCAGCCCACCAGGCTCCTCCGTCCATGGGATTTTCCAGGCAAGAGTACTGGAGTGGGGTGCCATTGCCTTCTCCTGTAATCGTCTTGGTATGGATTATTCTTTAAGTAGAGAAGGACCTGGTTCTGTAAGTAAATAAAAAGATGCCTAGCAACCACCTCCTTTTTAAAAATAGGATTTAGTGAGAAATTCAGGAAGGAATATGACAAATTTGTACTTTACAAAGAAGCAGTTTTATAGTTTGGATTTAAGCACATCTCCTTAAGAAAAATCTTAGTTCTAGGGGACTTGTTATCTCCATATATATATTTTTCATGTTGACTTGCTGAATTTTGCTTAAACACTGCATTGCAATTCTAACATGCAGTTCAGTATCACTGTGAAAGTAGTGCTGGACAAAAGAGGCACAGTTTGACAAGGTCAGACAGCCCACCTCCTGTATCCTAGGGTTCTGTTGGAAGATTGACAGCCCGTCACTGTTCAAAGTTGGCAGTTTTGAAAAACTTAACCACCCAATATGCAAATAGAGTTTTATTTGTCCTAAAACAGCCCTTTAAGCCTTTAAGGAAGGGGGAGGACCTACAGAGTCAGTCTCCTGATTCTTATTCTTGTCCACTACTTTGTGATTTTACAAGACCTGGACATTCTCCCACCCCCGTCTTCTAGGCTAAAACTCTGTACAAGTTCTGTGTCTCCTGGTTATTTCTGATAGTTGTTTTGAGTATTTACTTTTATTTTAATAAAGTAAAGGTTTGTTATTCTGAGTTGAGTTATTCTCAACTCTCTTTATACACTGTATTTAAGTATGGAATGTTTTTGAGATATTGAAGCCTGGTACCCACCCTTCTTTCATGTTCTCAATTCAGCCATTTTGGAAAGCAAGTAGACTATGTATTTCATTAGTGTAGAATTTATTATCTCAACTGTTAAGGTTTATCCAGATTATTTTGGGTCTGTTATTTCAAATAACACTAACAGCCGACCTATACATACATTTCTTTTTTCAGTGATGCTACCTCCATCCCGAATTTTATAGACATTTATTTTATTTACGAAATAGCCATGAATGAAAAAAAATAGAAACCTAATTAGACATCTGTTTCAAAGTTCTATTACTAAAACTCTACGTTTAAGTAGTTATCTTAAGATTTGGCTTTAAATTGTAGTATCTTTTTTTAAAAACTTTTTTGTAGTATCTTTTTAATACTGACTTGGATTTTAACTGTTGTATACATTGAGCTCATAAATTTGTAATAAGTGTTTAATTTAGCGTGTCACTCTACGTACCTTTCCTCCTGAGATAGTGTAAGGTGGCTCTATCATTGACGGTCTTAACATTTCTTTCTCCAGGCACTGTCTCGGGACCACCTGCACCTCCGCCCCCTCCTCCACTCCCGCCAGGTCCTGCCCAGGCACCGGCCCTCCTCCCTCCTCCCCCGGGACCGCCTCCCCCGCCTCCACTCCCTTCCTCAGGGCCTCCGCCCCCGCCTCCTCCACCTCCTCTTCCCAATCAAGTTCCCCCTCCTCCTCCTCCACCTCCTGCTCCTCCCCTCCCTGCCTCTGGGTTTTTTTCGGGATCCATGTCTGAAGACAATCGCCCTTTAACTGGACTTGCAGCTGCAATTGCTGGAGCAAAACTTAGGAAAGTGTCACGGGTAAGTGGATTTCCCAATTCATTATATTTCTTATGTGTGTCTCATTCTGTCTCAGCATCTAAATTATCGAATTTATTGTATTCTCATTGTATGAACCCTGTGTTATTAACTTCATTGACTAAAAAAAAATTTGAAATAACTTAAGAAAAGTTGCAAGAATAGTGTAGAGTTTCTGTAAATTCATTACTTGGGTTGACCACTAAAGGTTTTACCATGTTTATTCTTTGTATATGTTTCCTTCTGCATAAACTCACACACTCTTTCTGTCTGAATTGAGGATAAATCAGAGACACCATGCTCCTGTTTCCCTAAATACTGAAGTGTGTATTTTGTAAGAAGAGGAACATTCACCCACATGACCACAGTATAATTATCAAAATCAGGATATGTAATTGATACAATACTACATAATCTGCAAATCTATTAAAATTTCACTTGTTGTCCAATGATGTCTTTTATGGCAATATTTTTTTCTATTTCAGGGTCACTCCTGTTAAATTTTGTTGTGATGTCTCTTTAATTTACTTTAAAATGTAGTAATTCCTCATTTTCCTCTTTCATGATACTGACATTTTTGAAGACAATAATATGAGTATTTTGTAGATCTGATATTTCCCTAAGATTTGATTGAGGTTATGCATTTTGGGGGACAGGTTTCACAATTTTTACCACCAATTTAATATGTCCTTATCAATGCCACATGCGATAGCATTTTATGCCATTATTGGTGATGTTAGCTTTGATAAAACTTCACTGATACATAAAATTACTCTGTTGGTTCTTAAGGTTTAAAAAATAATACCTAGATGTTTTTATTGAAATTAATGTGGATATATCCTTCTGTTTTGAATGTAATACATTAATAAAGGATTGATATATTAGGATTGCCCCACATAGGAGTTTATTATGTGTTTATATTCTCATTAAGATGGAAGATGCCTCTTTCCCAAGCGGAGGGAACACCACTGGTGTGAATTCGGCCTCATCAAAAACAGATACAGGTCGTGGAAATGGACCCCTTCCTTTAGGGGGTAGTGGTTTAATGGAAGAAATGAGTGCCCTGCTGGCCAGGAGGTGAGTGAGAAATTACGTGGATGTGTCCAAAATTGAAAAAATTGTGTTAATTTTATTCTAAGTATAATTTAACTAGATGAAGCCCTTCCTTTTTGGTATAGTTTTAAACTGTTACATGATTTGTTTTAATTTTTTTAATCTGACGTACCTTTTTTCTAGGAGAAGAATTGCTGAAAAGGGATCAACGATAGAAACAGAACAAAAAGAGGACAAAAATGTAAGTTAATAAAAAAGAGTCTACTTCATGAGGACTTCCCTGACAGTCCAGTGGCTAAGACTCCGTGCTTCCACTGCAGGGGATATGGGTTGATCCCTGGTCTGAGAACAAAGATCCCACATGCCAAGTGGTGTGAGCAAAAAATAAATAAAAATTAAAATAGTCTGCTGCACCCAAAAGTGTGAAATTCAAGTATAGCTCATATCAAAGATTAGTTTGAACTTAATTTCAACTAACAATATTTATTTTTAACTCTTCAGATACTAAAAATGGTATCACTTTTTATATATTTTTAATGACATTCTTAGTAAAATAGGTTGAATGTGTTTAGTTAGGGGAAAAGTACTGGAATCTTTACTTATATCTAATTATGTACCTAAGCCTGCTGTTAAAGGAGTGAAGGACTTTTTTCTAGGTTTTTAAACTATCTGAGAGTTTCAGTTTCCTTGCGTTTAGAATGGAAGGAATTTGACCAAATCCGGTGGTTATTATCTGTGCCCTCTCTCGCATTCAGCAGCACATTGGGAAGTGTGGTTCTCATTGAGTGTGCCGTTCTCATTGAGAGCGCATGAGGAAGGATCCATCAGGAACTGCAGTGGGGGAGGGAGGAGTTTGGAGGTGGGGCTGCTAGGGTTAGGAAAAAAGTCTCAACTTAGTGTAGAGGAGAGAAAAGACTGATGAGGGAAAAAGTGGGAAATGGCAGAAGGTATAAAGCACCAAATGTATACAGCAGGTTTCTAGAAGATACGATGTTATCAATATGTATTTCTGTATATTTAGGAAGACTCAGAACCTGTAACTTCTAAGGCCTCTTCAACAACTACACCTGGTAAGTTCAAGGGATACATTTTCATCTTTATGAACTTTGTCTAAATATTAATACTTCTCAATTAAAAATTCTCCCTTTCCCCATGTTTAGATCAAGTGACTGCTTAGCCACTAAAACGTTAAAATTCTTGGTTCACACTTGAAAGCACTGACTTTCTCCTCTACCTTTTGTGACCCTGAAGCAGCTGTTCATTTCTTTATGACATTGGGAGATATATTAAAATCCAAAGTGTTTTTTTATGACTTTCTCTGAAAATCATCATTTTTACACATTCTGTGTATATTATTGTTAGTGACTTGAAGTTACTCATTTAAAGAAGGAAAAATATGTTATCTAGATGGAAGAGAAACACTTTTAGTAACTGATTCTTAAAGGCGAGGATTTTATATGTCATGTCTTCATTTTTGACTAAATGACTAAACACTGAACGCCTGTTTCTCTCCCTACCTAATTTGGAATGAAGTTTGATCATTTTGATGAATTAATATTTAGAGTTAGCCATAGGAATCGACTATAGGGAAATGCCTATAACAACCACTCATTCTCACTGAATAGTGGCTCTGTAGTGGCCTGATAGCTCTATTATAATTAATATTGTAACTGTGAATAATTTTTCCTCTGTATAGGACTCAAATCAGTTTATGTTACCTTCATTAAAAGTTCTATTGTTTGTGATTTACTTATTTTTACCTTTATCTTCCCCAAATCAGTATACATGCTATTACTAAACCATAGATATTTTAGGACTCAGCTATAATTTAGAGTCACAGAACTTTCTGGAATTTGAAAAGAGCTATGAGCCCTCTCCCAGGGAAGAAAAAAATCATATTTTTATACAAAACTGATCATCATTTCAAAATACTCACTGATTCCCTGAAGGTTATGTACAGACTCCTTGTCTAATGTATATCCCCTTATTTAAAACATGGAAAACTGAAGCATGGATTTTGCATGTGTTTTTTTGTGTGTGTTTGCACATGTGTACCATTTTTATAAAATTAGGGATTCATTTAGAAAAGGTCTAGAGGTTTTTTTACTTCACTTGCTGCAGTCAGTTTTTTCCCCTTAATTGCCACATGTTAGACACCTGCCAGGCCAAAAAGAAGCGAAAGATGAAGTCACCCTAAGCACAAGAAATTCATGGTTCAGCTGGGATGCTGAGACACACACACACAAGTGAAAAGTTAATGTTTCATAACCACATGTTGAATATTAAAGAAATGTATCAAGGAGAAGGAGATTGTATAGTTAGGAGTCACCTGGATCATCTTTGTAGGAAAAAGTGACATTTTGCCTTGCCTTGAAGAGTATTTCGCTTAGCTGGAAGTAGAGAAAGGAGTGCTTTTTCAAAAGGAAGTGGGTATGGCATGGGCAGAGATGGGGAGTTGGAGCTGGAAGGGACTAGGAAACATGACTTCGCCTGTCTCTTTATTTAGTGACAGTGTTCTTATGACCATCCCCTGCCTGTCCAGTTGTCCTTTAGGATTCCCCTCTTTTCCCCTACTCTGGAGGTATCTCTTGGATGTGTTTCTGATTCTGTCTGTCGTGGACATCCTCATCTGATTATCTGACATCCACTGGCTCAGTCTGTGGTGGTCAGTGAGAGAGTGTGTTAGCTTTGAGAATACAGAAGGAGTAATGATTAACTGGTTGATGGACAAGGAGTAAAGCAAGATGAATGATGACTTTGTTTCACTAGATGACTCAAGGCAGCAGAAATCCGGAACATAAGCAGTGCTTCAGGCTTGAGTTGAGAGTTTAGTTTAGCATACATGCATGTCCATAGGCCAGCTGAGGGGCCACAGTAGAACTCGGCAGGTTTTCAAGCTAAAATTCTGCGCAACTTAGACGTGATTCTTCTATGGCCCAAATTTGTTCTTCCATGAGAGGCTTCCACTCCGGATTTCACCTAGTCATCCAGTGAGGCCAGTAACAGCATCAGCGAGGCAGCCCAGGTTAGCAGAAACAGTTTAGAACTTTGCTTTTCAAAACACAATCAACTGAAAGCTCAGAGAAACCTAATTTTATTTAACTGGAATTGTCTGCTAAGTCCTAACAATTGGTTGTGTGAAAATCAAGGAAATACAGTAGAATGAGGTGATTCTGAAATATATTTTGAGTTGCTTGAATTTTTTGCCAAGAGGTCTGTTTGAATTTAGATTAAATATTGAAGTACATGAACACATTAAAGATTCTTTTTAAAATAGTTTAAAAGAGTGTATAGTTCGTACTCTCCCATTCTAATAAATTTAAGCTATCCTTATTAATTTAAAGTAATTCCTACAATTTCATTGTAATTAATCAAAATTATCCTACCCTAATTCATATTATCCTATTTTTATTAGAGAAACTTGTTACCATCTGGTGTATAGAATTACAGTATTGTAAATTTAACAATCTTAAGTTCTTCATAGAGAAAGTTGTCACACTTAGTTGCTTATTAATTTCTTTTCATTTTGGGATCTGAAATTATACAAATTAGAATCCTAACTCTGGGAGCATATAGGATATTTAACTTAAGTTCTTTAATTTTTAAAGAACCGACAAGAAAACTTTGGGAAAGAACAAATACAATGAATGGCAGCAAGTCACCTGTCATTTCCAGGTAATCAGTTTTTTTTCTAAGTTTTATATTACAGTTGTATCTAAGAAGAAATTAACATCTGCGTTTTTATGGGTCTGAATTCTACCATATGCTTATTATTATCACCCAGGTTGTCTGAAGTTTCTAGATAGCTTTTATTCCTCCCAGTACTTATATTTTGAAAAAATTCAAAACAACTACAGAAAAATTGAAAGAATAATATAGCAAACATCCATGTATCCATCACCTGGATTCACCAGTTATTAACATTTTGCCAGCATTGGCTTGATCTCTTGTCTACACATCCACGCTTTTTTCTCTCTGAGTAGTTGGAAGGCAGTTTGCAAATATGTGCTGCTTCAGCCCTAAATGCTGCTTCAGCATTTTTCTTATGAAACAGGACGTTCTCCTGTATAACCTCAACATCATTGTTACTGTCAATAAATAACATTGAACTTTTGAAAGAAACATAATGCTTTAAACTGAAAAGCAGCTGGAGAGAAAAGGCTACAGTATTTAAGAGAGCAGAATAAAACCTAAAATTTTGAATTTATAAAGTAGAAAGATTTCTTTTTCAGTTGAAACTTCTAATTATAGTCGAGTTAAGAAAGATAATGCCCAGAAACAGCACTAGTTAATCCATGTTTCTACAAGGGGCTGTGTGTTGCATGGTCAAGCAAATTCAGTATTTCTTAGCCAGGCATATTTTACTGTCATAACTAATTTTATATTGTAGGTCTTAAACATAGATGAAACATTTTCTTGGTTTATGAGACAGTTTAAAGCACTCATATTTTTCATAGAAAAAAGTATGTGTCTTGAGAATGAAAAGTGTTTTTTTTGCCTTTTGTTTCTGAGCTATTCGCCTTATTTTTGCCTCATAAAAAAGCAGGCTTAATGTCTTAACTATAGAAGCCTAATTTTAAAAAATACAAGAATAGACCTTATATTGTCACAGGTCTGTTGTACATGAGCTTCAATGTAAATTTGGATTGGTTTTTTGTTTGGTTCTTCCTGTTGGTGGGAAAGATTTGGTGATGACATAGTTAATTAAATTTCACAAAGAAACTGGGCCTTTTTGAGTGTATAGAAGCTTTCAGTTTCTTCGTGACTGAAAGATGAATATATTTGGCTGGAATTGCTTTTGGTGAATATGTTTCTTCAACAGAGTGGAAAAACTGCATTTATGTTCCCAGATACCTAATTGATGTGGCCTTCTGAAGTATCTCTAATAGTAGTTACAGATTTTCTTCAGTAGCACTGTACAAAACCCAGTTTATCAAGGACTGTGCATATCAGAACAGACCTGTGATGTGCCCTGTCCTTTGAAGCTGCAAATTGTAACGAGGAGGAATGCCTTCTCTTTGTCCCTGCTTTCATCCCTGCCTCATTGATGGGGATTCCATAGTGAGCTTGCCTAAAGCTAAACTTAAATTCATGGCAAAAGTTCTATCGTAGACGGGACATGGAAAAACTTCTCCAGGTGGAATGTATGTGTTCCTTGATCTGGTTGGGTTCATTTAATAAAGGAAAGAATATTCTCTCAGAGACTTTTCAGACTTCTAAAGAAAGTTTAATATATGTTCTAAGCATCACTATTTTAAAAATATTTTGTATAGATTAATCAAATGTGGGTTCTTATTATCCAGTAATGTATTATAATCATGTTCTAACTCTGGTAGATGGTTTTCCTCTCTTTTCCCAGAGTGAACATTCTAAAATGCCCAATTAAAGAACTGTGTTGCTTTTCTTCCTAAATTACTCCCCTCATTCCTTCTGAAAACAAGTATATTGGCTTTTTTTTTTTGCTTTTTTTTAAGCACACTTTATCCTTGCACAGTACTGAAAGTAAATACGCAGTGTCAAAATTATGTTAGTGATAAGATCGATCAATATCCTGTAATATATGCTGTATTAAGTGAAGATGTCAGACAGTGGAATAAAAGCAAGAATGTTGACCTATGGCTGATCCATGTTGAGGTTTGACAGAAAGCAACAAAATTCTGTAAAGCAATTATCCTTCAATAAAAAACATTAAAAAAAAAAAAGAAAGCTCTAAATCATGACTGGAATGTAATGTTGGAAAGTTTGTGAATCTTCCCATAGCATTTGTTGGGAGCTTACAGATCTTGTATTCAAGATGGAAAAAAGTTCTTTACATGCCTCCTTAGAAGAGCTAATTTTGTATACTTCAAGCTACAGTGATTTTTACTGTGCTTTTTGAGTTTATAGTTTTATTTATATTCACTCTAATAGAAATGTCCTGTGTTTTGATACTTGTTGAATTTTTATGTAAGTAGGTTTTACAGTATGTAAAAGTAGCCACTACATAATGATTTTTTAAAGAAGTCTCTGTAATTATCAAGTGAACAGTGTCCTCACATAACTAGACTTAGTCTCCAAATAATCTTTTTTTTTTTTTTTTACAATTATTTTAAAGTTAATGGACTTCTTTAGTTCTTCTTCGGTTTGCTATAACTAAAAACCTGTAAAACAGTAACAAAATGAGAATTATTTTTAAGAGTTCTATTGTGTATCCCTTTAAATGGTTTTTCCCCTTCATAGACGGGATTCTCCAAGGAAAAATCAGATTGTTTTTGACAACAGGTCCTATGATTCATTACACAGGTATCATCCTGATGTGACTTTGTGATTTGAGACTTTTAAATAACATTTTCAGGATAGGGCTGAGCTTTTTCTACATGGATTGGTAATCACCACAAAGGAGAAATGGCGATAGCATAAATCTTTCATATTTAGCTGTATCTAAAACACTCTTTTAGAAAAATTTCTGAATGATTTTAGTGAGAAAAATTAATAGTATTCATTTCCCTGCCATCAGTTTATATTTGGATTATGAGAAATATAAATGGTCAGCCTACCTGAAATACGAGAATGAGAACCGAAGTCCACGTATATCGAGAGTGTCTAGCTTTTGCATTTTATTTTAAAAGCCATTCTTTTTCTAAGACAAGGCTTTAAAAAGTTGAACAGAAGATCCTGTACTCTTTGTCACTGGAAGACAGGACAGTATTACAGCCACAGTGACTAGCCATTGTGAATAATTTATTATCTGAAGAAAATCTGTTTCCTACATACTTTGCAGTAAATTGAGTATCTTTAACAACCTAACATCTAATATCCTTGAGCAGATTATTTGTTTGCTAGGATGAGTCCTGTTATACCATTTTTTAATTAAGAAAACTTAGGATATGAACCATGTATTTCTTTCTTAATTAAAAAAATTGACAATTTCTTAAGATCCTCAAGTGCTTAAGCTATATTTAGAATTAATTTGGCAGAACAGGAACTTAAATAGTTGCAGTACAGTTATTTTATAGGCAGTATCTAGAGGCAACACTCTTGTTATAAAGAAATAAAAATCCCCCTTTTTTGTTATCAATTATGGTGAAAACCTTAATGTTAGAAATAACTGAGATATTATACTCATGTTACTGTATGCATCTGTTTTTTAAAATACACATCAAGTCCACTGGGAGCATAAATAGTATACAGGAGGTTGTCTTTGGTAGTGAGTAAAGAGTTCTGTAATCAGACTCTGTTTGACCAAATTGTTATTATAGCTACAGTTATTTTCATGCCATTGATGATAAATATTTGGCAAGTTCATTTTGTTAGCCAGTTAAATTTGCATAAAGTATTTATAGTACAGTAGTGAAATAATTCTTCCTGCTTTTTTTTGAGGTGGTTTGTTTTGACCAAAGACTTATTTAGAAAATCTGCTAACACATAGAAAAATAGCATTTAACCATGAGATTTTCTGTTTTAAATCTTTCCAGTTTGCTGCTTTCATACATAGTATCCCCCTGAGATAATGTTGTTGATAAACCTTTTTTAAAAAGTGGTGATTACATCTTTCCTTAAGTATGAAAAGTTCCCCCCTTTAGTTAATTATCACGGTGCTGGTGGTGGTGGTGGCGGTGGTGGTGGATTGCATGTTAGCATGAATTAAAGTTTTTAAAAGTTGCATGTCTCCACGATTTTCTTTATTATATAACAAATAATTTTCTGGATTGTTTAGTAAATATGGATATATTTATAACATACTCCCCGGTTAAGTAACAGACTATTGTTATTCACATGAATTTTAAGGATATTCATTATGTAAGTTTAGTAAAAGAAACCAAAACAGTGTTTGTACCAATTAAATGTGAAATGTAAAAGAAAAGCAGAATAAATAATAATTTACTCTGGAGAGCAGGAACAGGCAGTATGGGTAAATGAGATGCATAAAAGTCAACGTTTATGATACTTACTGTATAGACCGGATTTTGCAGTGCATCGTGACTTGCATACTGTGGATATCAGTACATCTTAATGACTGTGGAATTAAGTCACCTCCTCAACAAGGTGAAAAGGTATATTGTCTCAAGAAGAAAGGAAGTATGTCATATAAATCTTATCCAGCACAGGCCTAGCTCAGTGCCTCTTGAATGAAATTTTATGAGTTATTATTTTTCTTGTTCATATAAACATAGCAGAAGATATGTAGTAAACTTAGTTGATTTGCTTCACAGCAGTCTTTTAAGCTGTCATATGTTTCATATAAACATGACTCAAGATTTCATCTTCAAACACAGTGTCTATGGGTTTGAAGTGTAATATGCCTTATAAGAATGTTAAGTTTGAAAGAGTTATGCCTGTTAAGTCTTGGTTCAGATTTCTCACATTGGTATTCTGCAAAGTTGGAAATATATGACCTAATAGTTTTCATTTGCGTTGATTTGTGACCCTTAAAAAGTGGCCACTTAATATATACTAGAAGCTGAAAATGAAGTATCATTCAGTTAAAATTCTAAATTTTTCCACTTAGTATTTTCTCCTATTGCCAGAATTGGAGAGGGAGTCATGACTGACTTACTTGATTTTGAAACTTTTTGCTTAAAATGTGGCTAATTCTTAAGACTTATTTCTTCATGTAAAATTTTTTAACAGAAGCTCAACTTTTAAAAATGTAATAATGATTGACAGTCTGCTTAAAGTCTCCTTACCGTCCCCCTGTTTTTTAAACAAAGTAAGTTTGTGGAAGTAGTTAGATGACCATTCAGATAACATCTTTATAAAAACTCCATTGGGAAATAGCCACAAAGCCAGTAGGATATGAACATACTTTTTTAAACTTAATAACTTATTTTTAACTTAATAATCATATTTCCAAGATGCTTATTTATTTTGATGCTTTTTATGGAACGGAACACATACAAAGAAATCATACTCATTAAGCAATTCCGTCCCCTGCCCCCCACCGGAAACCAAGGCGTAGAATTTGAAAATTGATTTATACAGAGTGAAACAGTCTGGTCTTTATCATTTCGCTCTCATTGGTTTGCCAGATATTTAGTAGATAGCGTACAGTTTCTAAAGGAGAGAACAAGATTGTGTTACTTGGGCTGGGTCGTTGCAGCTGGCCTCCCGTCTGTCCTGGTCACGATGCCACGTGTTACCCGTCACCCTCCTCGTGCCCAAAGAGCGTTGTCCTCTACTTTTTACTGGAAAAGTCTTGTCATGTTATCAACTTTTTCTAATTTCTTTATAAATACTGATAATGCTGTAAAAAGAGAAAAATATTTTTGTATATCCTAATTCTGCAACTATTAAGATAATTAACTCTTTAACACATGTTTTAAGAAATGTACTCTAATCTGGTGTTGGGTTGGTAACTTTGCAATTACTAATGAACTCATTAAATATGCTAAGCGTTATTTATTTACCTGTCCTGAAAATTTCATTTGTCCAGACCAAAATCTGCGCCTTCGTCACAGCCCAGTGCCAACGGAGTGCAGACGGAGGGACTGGACTATGACAGGCTGAAGCAGGTGGGCGCCCAGCAGCAGCTTCCCTTTGTTTGTACTTGTTCTTTTTTTAAAAAATAATCCCATGTACGTATATTTGACAGGTTGTGAATGTATTTGAAAAGAATATAGACTTGATATTTTTATAGAAATTAAACAGTAACATTCATGCTATATTACTTCTTTCAGATCCTCAGTTTTTGGTTCATCAGTTTGCATAAAAGGCCAGCAGTGGTGGAGGGTAGGGGCAGTGGTTTAATGTAATAAGATAAGCGTTAAATGTAAGTGCATGGTGTACAGTTGTTCAAGAGAAAAAATGGGCTTGTGCTTACCATCGGCCGAAACAGACCCACCAAGTCTCGTTTTAGCAAGAATGTAAGGAAGATGAGTACTCTCACATATTTCTGTGAAAGGAAGCAGTTTGGGGGGGACATCAATAAGAAAAAGATATTGTTCATATTTTAGATACAGTATGCATTGTGTTTAATACGTATATACACAGAAAAAAATGGAAGGATCCGTAGGTAATTTTGGAACCTTGAACTATTTTACTTCTAAAAGAGGTAAAATAATTTAAAGTGATAGGGTTTTAAAAGATTGGAAAAGGAAGGCTAAAGACGTCTTAGTGAAACAGCTATCAATTTTGTAGACCTGGTAGTTTTGCCTGTAATGAACAATTTAATCTTTGTCTCCTTATCCTGCACTTCAGAATAGCCTGAAAGATAGCAGTGGTACTGATCACTATAATAGGCATTTACTGACTGTCTGGCAGACCTCAGTGTTATACATTTGCTAGGTTATTAGCATGACATTGTCTCCTAATCCTAGTAGTAGTCAGATAACATAGTGTCTGTACTCAAATTGTGCACATCAGAGGTTCAGAGAGTTTGAATTTACTCAGTCCCATAGTCAGGATCAGAATCCTGTCTTTATCTTTAGAGCCTGCTTTCCCCATTCTATCACTCATTTTTTGAAGTATCAGCCGTTTGAGTGGGGCTTAAAAGAGTACCAATAATGCTGCAGTATAATGAGTTCAAAGTAAAAGTTAAATAGGAATTAAAGCAACAAATAGTAACAGTTCAGTTGAGTTATGTAATTTGAAAAGCATGTGGTCATTGATAATCAAGTGCTTGTTTCCTGTGTGTTAAACGTGGCTTTCTTTTCTTGAAAAATATCTTGAAATGGAGCACTTGCACACAATTAAGATACGGTCAGTTCTTGACTCTCTGAAGTAGGGGACTTGAGAGGAATAGATTTGATCTTAGGACTGATTTTAAGTTAATTTGAAAAAGAATATCTATTAGTTCTGTGCCTCAGTTTCCTCACTGGGAAATGGAGGAAATAAACGAATTGAAAATTTTCAACCTTATTTTAAACATGAAAAGGTTTTTTTTAAAAGATGAATCTTAACCATAGAGCTATTTAAGTTTACCTAAGGTGTGTGCAGTGCTAAAGAAAGTCATAGAATTTGAAATTAATTCTTCCAAATGATAGTTGTTTTTCACCCATTAAAATTATCACCTTATTAGTCCTTATAGCGTTCACGTTACACAATCTTTATTTTTTAACTAGAGGGTGTATCCATTATTTCAAGTTGAACTTTATAAATAGAAATTTTGAAAAATAAGTAAAGGCAGAGTGGTTATCATAGAGGTAAGAGGGTCTAGAGCATCACTATTCAATAGAAATATTGGGCTGGCCAAAAAGTTCAGTTCACTTGCTCAGTCATGTCATGTCCAACTCTTTGCGACCCTATGGACTTCAGAACGCCAGGATTCCCTGTTCATCACCAACTCCCGGAGCTTTCTCAAACTCATGTCCATTGAGTTGGTGATGCCATCCAACCATCTCATCCTCTGTCATCCCCGTCTCCTCCTGCCTTCAGTCTTTCCCAGCATCAGAGTCTTTTCCAGTGAGTCAGTTCTTCACATCAGGTGGCCAAAGAATTGGAGTATCAGCTTCACCATCAGTCCTTCCAGTGAATATTCAGGACTGATTTCCTTGAGGACGGACTGGTTGGATCTCCTTGCAGTCCAAGAGATTCTCAAGAGTCTTCAACAACACAGTTCAAAAGCATCAGTTCTTCGGTGCTCATCTTTCTTTATAGTCCAACTCTCACATCCATACATGACTACTGGAAAAACCATATCCTTGACTAGATGGACCTTTGTTGGCAAAATAATGTCTCTGCTTTTTAATATGCTGTCTATGTTGGTCATAACTTTCCTTCCAAGGAGTAAGCATCTTTTAATTTCATGGCTGCAATCACCATCTGCAGTGATTTTGGAGCTCAAAGAAATAGTCTGTCACTGTTTCCCCATCTATTTGCCCTGAAATGATGGGACTGGATGCCATGATCTTATCAGTTTTCTGAATGCTGAACTTTAAGCCAACTCTTTCACTCTCTTTCACCTTCATCCAGAGGCTCTTCAGTTCCTCTTTGCTTAATGCTCTAAGTGTGGTGTCGTCTGCATATCTGAAGTTATTTATATTTCTGCTAGAAAATTTGATTCCAGCTTATGCTTCATTCAGCCTAGCATTTCTCATGATGTACAGTACATATAAGTTAAATAAGCAGGGTGACAATATACAGCCTTGACATACTCCCTTCCCTAATTTGGAACCAGTCTGTTGTTCCATGTCCAGTTCTAACTGTTGCTTCCTGACCTGCATACAGATTTCTCAAGAGGCAGGTCAGCTGGTCTGGTATTCCCCTCTCTTGAAGAATTTTCCACAGTTTGTGGTGATCTACAGTCAATAAAGCAGAGGTAGACGTTTTTCTGGAATTCTCTTGCTTTTTTGATGATCCAGTGGATGTTAGCAATTTGATCCCTGGTTTCTCTGCCTTTTCTAAATCCAGCTTGACCATCTGGAAGTTCACAGTTCACATACTGTTGAAGCCTGGCTTGGAGAATTTTGAGCATTACTTTACTAGCATGTGAAATGAGTGCAATTGTGCAGTAGTTTGAGCATTCTTTGGGATTGCCTTTCTTTGGGGTTGGGATGAAAACTGACCTTTTCCAGTCCTGTGGTCACTGCTGAGTTTTCCAAATTTGCCGGCATATTGAGTGCAGCACTTTCACAGCATCACCTTTTAGGATTTGAAAGAGCTCAACTGGAATTCCATTACCTCCTCTAGTTTTTTTCGTAGTGATACTTCCTAAGGCCCACTTGACTTCTCATTCTAGGATGTCTGGCTCTAGGTGAGTGATCACACCATTGTGGTTATCTGGGTCATGGATATCTTTTTTTTCTTCTGTGTATTCTTGCCACCTCTTATTAATCTTCTGCTTCTGTTAGGTCCATACCATGTCTGTCCTTTATTGTGCCCATCTTTGCATGAAATGTTCCTTTGGTATCTCTGATTTTCTTGAAGAGATCTCTAGTCTTTCCCATTCTGTTGTTTTCCTCTATTTCTTTGCATTGATCACTGAGGAAGGCTTTCTTATCTCTCCTTGCTATTCTTTGGAACTCTTCATTGAAATGAGTATATCTTTCCTTTTCTCCTTTGCCTTTCACATCTCTTCTTTTCTCGGCCATTTGTAAGAACTCCTCAGACAGCCATTTTGCCGTATGCATTTTTTCTTTTTTTGGATGGTTTGGGCCCTGTCTCCTGTACAATGTCCATAGTTCTTCAGACACTCTATCAGATCTAACCCCTTGAATCTACTTGTCATTTCCACTGTATAATCGTAAGGGGTTTGAGTTAGGTCATACCTGAATAGTCTAGTGGTTTTTCCCTACTTTCTTCAGTTTAAGTCTGAATTTGGCAATAAGGAGTTCATAATCTGAACCACAGTTGGCTCCTGGTGTTGTTTTTGCTGATGTATAGAGCTTCTCCATCTTTGGCTGCAAAGAATGTAATCAATCTGATTTCGGTGTTGACCATCTAGTGATGTCCATGTGTAGAGTCTTCTCTTATGTTGTTGGAAGAGGGTGTTTGCTATGACCAGTGCGTTCTCTCGGCAAATCGCTGTTAGCCTTTGACCTGCTTCATTTTGTACTCCAAGGCCGAATTTGCCTGTTACTCCAGGTATCTCATGACTTCCTACTTTTGCATTTCAGTCCCTTCTAATGAAAAGGACATCTCTTTTGGGTGTTGGTTCTAGAAGGTCTTGTAGGTCTTTATAGAACTGTCCAACTTCAGCTTCTTCAGCATTACTGGTTGGTGCATAGACTTGGATTACTGTGATATTAAATGGTTTGCCGTAGAAACCAACAGAGATCATTCTTTTGTTTTTGAGATTGCACCCAGGTACTACATTTCGGACTTTTTGTTGACTGATGGCTACTCTGTTTCTTCTAAGAGATTCTTGCCCACGGTAGCAGATATAATGGTCATCTGAGTTAAATTCAGCCTTTCCAGTCCATTTTAGTTTGCTGATTCCTAAAATGTCGATATTTACTCTTGCCATCTCGTCTTTGACCACTACCAATTTGCCTTGATTCATGGACCTAACACTCCAGGTTCCTATGCAGTGCTGCTCTTGACAACATCGGACCCTGCTTCCATCCCCAGTCACATCCACAACTGGGTGTTGTTTTTGCTCAGCTCTGTCTCTTCATTCTTTCTGGAGTTACTTCTCCACTGATCTCCAGTAGCATATTGGGCACCTACCGACCTGGGGAGTTCATCTTTCAGTGTCCTACCTTTTTGCCTTTTCATACTGTTCATGGGGTTCTCAAGGCAAGAATACTGAAGTGGTTTGCCATTCCTTTCTCCAGTGGACCACGTTTTGTCAGAACTCTCCATCGTGACCCGTCGTCTTGGTGGCCCTACATGGCATGGCTCATAGTTCATCGAGTTAGACAAGGCTGTGGTCCATATGATCAGATTGGTTAGTTTGTTAGGCTTTTTCCAAATGAACTTTTTGGCCAACTCTATGTAACATGGGTCACATACTTCAAATTTTTAGCAGGTGCATTAAATATAGAGAAATAGGTTACATTCTCTTTAATATATTTTTATTTAACCTGATGTAGCCAAAGTAATATTTCAGTATATAATAATCAATATTTTAAAATTACTGACTAGTTATTTTACTTTACTTTCTTCATAGTGAATCTTTGAAATCTGGTGTCTTAACATTTACAGTGCATCTCACCTCAGACTTGCCACGTTTCAAGTGCTCGGTAGCTATATGTGGCTGGTCTTCTTTCTTAAGACTGTGTATGTCTAGCAGGGTCCCATCCTCCTACTTCCCCACCTATTGGGGCAGCCCCCGAGGGCCCTCCAGGGGAATCCTACATTCCGTGAAGCTTAGTTTGACACCTCTGGTGATTCCGAAGCAGTCCCCATAGTTAAGGCCAGGTGACAAACTTCCCAAGAGCTGATTGTCCAGTTTGTGTCTTCTTCCTTTGAACTTGTTTATGGATTGCCTCTTAGCTCCCAAAAGGCTAGATGAAAAGCAGAGCTCTTATGTTTTATAGGGTTATCTGAATCATACCTTTCACGGCATGACCAGGTAATTACTTTAGGTTTAGAAGACATTCTGCTTCATATTTTGCTAAGCTAGAATAAGCAAAGATTGGGAAGAGAAGACTATTAAAACAAAGTTTACCAAAGTTAATCTTCTAAGTCATAAATCATGAATCTGGAAACAAAAGACAGAGGTAACATTTTATACATTTGTAAAATTTTATATGAGCAAGAATCTTCATTTTCTGTATTTCTGATGTTTTTCTCTAATATTTTAGGACATTTTAGATGAAATGAGAAAAGAATTAACTAAGCTAAAAGAAGAGCTCATTGATGGTGAGTGTCTAAACAAATTTGCTACCCCTGCAATGTTTAATAATACCCATTTTAAAGAAAATGAAGATAAAAAAATACCTAGTTTATTACTTGAGGGCATGAAACAATTACTTTTCCATATTATCCTGTCCTTTACCTGGCTTTGGGTGCCAAAGAGAGGGTTTCTGTCCTTCATATAATGGAAATTATTTGTGAACACAGGGTAAACAAAATTCCTCTTTAAGTTTCCGATATTGAATAGTATTAGATGGAAAACTTCTTTTCATCCATCCCATCCCACTAAACTCTTGTTTTGAGCCCAAAGAATCAGTGTTTTCCTTTTGTTTACAAAATGGAGAGAATTATATAAATATATATAAGTTGATGTTGTCATTGTAAAAATAAGAAAACAGATTTCTTCAATAAAAGATGCACAGGTAGTGTATCTTTGTATTACTGTGAGTTTGAATGAAGTCATTAAGATTTCTTAAGAATGAATCACACATTTATCTTACCTTATCATTATATTTACTTTTAATATTTTTCCTTTTCCTGCCAGCAATCAGGCAGGAACTGAGCAAGTCAAATACTGCGTAGAGAAACAAACTAAGGAGAGACATGACTTTAATCTGGAAAAAGAAGAAAATAAAAACCTGCAAAGAACAACTGTTAGCAACAACAAAACCCTTACATTTTGTGAGCTGTGAGAAGAAAATGGAGATACACAGTCAGAAGGAGGGAAAAACCAACATACTTTGAAAGCCTTCAAACATTACCACTCCGGCGGATAAGCTATTTCCCTCCAAGTTTGCTGCTTTTTTCTGACCTTTACAACAGGATGGAAGAGAGCCGTATAGGAGTTCCTGTATCAGTTATGCAGAAAATTACTAAACCCGTCAGGCAGGATCACCGTGCATTGAGAATATTTTCATGTCAAGAGAAAATTGCACATTTTCCACAGTCCATAGCTAAAATAAAGAGGGGAAAGGCTTGAGAAGTTTTGTTTTTCAGAGAATGCTGATGAAGAATTTAGCAAGTGATGCTATTGTATTGTAAATGTTTCTCTCAGGTTTGTCTTCCTATCATATTTGATATTCCATGGATAATTGAGGTCAGCCCTGTGTAGGTTAAGATCATAAAATGTGGAACAAATGGAATTGTATGTGCTTTCAAAAGGTGACATTTATAAGAAAGTGTCCTAAAAATGATTTGTCCAGAGTGAGGAATTTTAGAATGATAGGAGGTCTCTCGAGTTTAGCCTTCATGCAATTTTGTAGATTCAAACATAAAATTCATCCAGAATTTAAAGATTTAGATGCCTTCCTAAATTGTTACAATGCTTTACCAAATCTATGACTCCTACATAACACAAACCAGTGGTCAAATGTAAAACAATATATTGTAGATTTACTGTAGGTTTTCAATCTTTTTTAGATTTATGCATGTGGACATTTTTATAACGTAATTACAACCACCACAAAAATTAGCTTTTTTAATTGCAGACAGTAATGCATGTTAAACTAATATGTAGTGGCCTTTTCAAGGCCTAGTCCCAGGGAAAACATTTTGTAGAGTATAGGGAGTGGGAGGAGGGGAAGGAATAATTTTTTATTTAAAGTTAATTTCTGCACTATCTTTTTTCTCAGTTATCTGCATGAATAATGATGAGGAATATTTTGTGACTTTAATTGGTAAATATGTTAACAGAACCAAGTACTTAATCTTTTACATCATGTCTTCAGCTATTTGTATTTTAATTCAGTAACTTCAGTGGTCTGAAACATGATTCTGAGCTTCACATGAATTCTGTCTTACTGTGGAATTCAAACGTCCGATCCCTGAATCTGGCAGTTTTTATTACCTAGGTGCCCTGCAGTTACCCAGGTATTCAGGTACACATTCCTGACTTCAGAGCTGCTTTCGGACTTTTATGTTGAAATACTAGAAAAGTGACAACGATGGCAGCAGTTAAGGTCACAGAAATCATCGGATAAAGGGAAAAATGACGAGGGGTCCTGCATAATTTTCTTTTAATAAATAAAGTGAGACTTAGGTGGTAGGAAGAAGGAACTAGATGCTCTACTTACCACCGTGTGCGTGTGTGTGTGTGCGTGTGTGTTTGTGTGGGCACTCACGTGTGTGTGTGTGTGTGTATAATGCACTCCCTTTTCTTCGAAACTTCTAAGATTAAAATAGGGGAGAAATCCTGTATGTTACAATGATAGCATTTTTTGAAAATCTAGGAAATCAAAAATTCTCCAGGCTCTCCATCTTGGTTTATGCTTGAGTTGTTATGTGCCATATTTGCTTTGAAATCTTTGATTATCTGTAATTTTACTAAAATTTTGAAGAAATAATCCACTGTTGTCTGCTTTCTGGATTTCTTAATCTACCTTCATGAGACAGAGCTTGTTGATAGCATAGTTTTCTAAATGCAGGTTTGCAGCCATCACCACTTCAATGAGGTTTGAATGAGGAAATTTTTTTTTTCTTATTAAAACAGTTCCTGTTTCTGTAGAAACTTCGTTTTTAGATTAATCTGTGATGGATGAGCTATCATAATTCAAATATGCAGTTCTTTTTCTATCAGCTGTTCATTGTCATCCAACAGTAAAGACATTAAAGATTCAACAAGCTTAAAAAGTACTACTTTCTTAAAGAAATAGGAGGCATTTCCATCTTTATTACCGTACTTTTGGTTATGCAAACACTTTGGAGATATAAATGTTTATGTCCCCCATAAATCTGGTCAGAAATCATTTTTGATTTTGTTGATTAAGTTAAACAGTAGGATAGAGTACTGGGTACAAGTGGTCCAAAGTAAGATAAAAGTCTACGCTAAAAATGCTAGATCTTGAAGAAGAAACTGGTTTATGCACTAAACGTTTTGTGCCTTGGTCTAAATATTAACATGTCTGTGTAAAATGACAAAAAGAACCAGTGTTGAATCATGTTTTATTTCCTGTCATTCTGCTTTATCCCAGACTGCTAAATGTGTTCTTTCCAAGAAGTTTGATTGAATTACTGTATACATTTACTGTCCTGTGTGACAGTTTTGTCATTGTTAGAGATTTCAGTAATTAAAATGGGAAACAGAAGCTTAGGTTATTTTCCTATCAAAACTATGTTCCTTGGAGCCACGTTATTATGATGGTTTTCGTGCTCTTGTACATTGGATGTCTTAAGCTGAGTGCAGTTTGGGGGATCCTTTCTAATTACAGGAAGGTACTACTTTCCTTTAACACTGTGATCTGACCTGTGACAAATCTGTACTACACACTATGTAATGGCTAACAAGTCAATTGCAAACCAACTGAATGTACAAACCTTAGTGCTGGTGCTGAAATCTCTTCAGAATAGTCATCATGATCTCAAAGTTTGTTTCAGAATTTGCAAGCATCAAGTGTCAATCAAAACTGAAGATGAAACACTAATGAATGTCGAATTCTCATGCTTTAGGTGTACTTCCTTTATAGTTTTTGTTTCTCTGCTATTTTTACCATACTGTTCCATTTAAATTTCCTACACGCTAACTTCGTTTGTGCGATTGAAATAAAATTGCAGTATATACATGTTGCTTGTTTGTGACACTTAGATAATCTGACATAATCTGTTGGTTCTAAATAAGTTGCTTTGAATGTAAAAAACACTCTTTAAAATCCATGACTTCACTAGTTAAAGTTTACATATCACGGCACTATTCTTTAAAGATTTCATAAGTCATAAATACTAAGTAATGTATACAAAGGGAATATGTGATCATGTATCTACTTTTTGCTTGAAATAACTGTTGGGTATTCCATGTTTGTTCTTATTTTCTCTCGGCCCAGCTTGGTACAGTGTCTTACAGTCAAGAGAATGAAAAGTGTTTTAAGTTCACTCCATTTTGTTCTACAGCAGAGATACGTTAAGCTCATTGATGCAGTTAAAATTTTTCTTAATATAGTTTGCAGCATAAAGGACATTGTATAGTCAAGGGCCTTCTTGAGTACTGAATTTTAAATGTAGTGAAACCTGTGTCTGTAGTGTTTGTTTATACAAAATGCTGAGTTCTTGATACCTGCATATACACGGCAGTATGCAGTATTAATTTTGAGTTTCGCTTTAAAATTCTGTCTTCATTAGAAACACAACAGCCTTTGTCTTTTTTCTGCCACCAGACCGTAACTTTACCTTCCCTCATCCTCTCTACTTCTCATGGCCCCTGAGTCCCTGCCACTCACTAATATTTGCAGTTATTACCCAGACTGCAGTTGTACACATATTAACCGGCTTTTTTCTCTGTATCCCGTCTCAGGTTCTTGCTTCCCTTTGTGTAAAAATTAGAATGTTTGTCTACAAACTTAAGAATCACTTCTCATTTAAAAATGAATGGCGTACCAGGCGGTAACCTTTAAAATTTGCCTAGATAACAACTTTGTCTCCTAAATTTGTATATACTTCTAGTGCCCTTGTAAAGAATTGCCCTTTAAGTTCTACAGAGTAGCGTTATCCTCCTGTGAAGCAGTTTACAGAGGTATGCTGCAGCTTCTCTGTGATTCCTTTTTGTAGTCATCATAATTTTATATCTAACACCATTACCCTTTAAATTCTATTGATTGTAAGCATAAAAGTGACATCACATAAAACATACTGCGTGAAGGAACTCTGTAGGAGCTCTTAATTTATTTTTGAAGCTGTTACATAATCCACTTTCCTAAGGACATTTATTCCAGTCACATTAAAGCTCCAAACTTGTTCGTGGTAGTACTGTTTTTGTTTTTAATAGAAAGATGAATTCATATCTGTTCCTTTTCCTCAAAGCTCAATGGGATGAGAAAGGGATCCCAAGAGTATATTGAAATTACCAATGTGTAATACCTCTGACTTTTTGCTAAGAAGCCATTTCATATTTAGACGTAGACACTTCTAAAGTGTAGGTATAAGGAATCTTTGTCAATCTGGGCAATTAAAATTGTCCCAGGTACCTCTGGCTACAGAAAGGCACAGTGGAGAACATTTATTCTTAAGGGTAGCTTCCTCTTAAACACATTTGCTTAAGAAGCTAAAGCTGGTAACCTTTCAAGAAAGGACATTTTTTAAATTTAAAAAAATTTTTTTTAAGAAAGGACATTTATATGAGCCAAGGACTGTAGAACTGTTCAGGGCCTAGAATGCAGACTCTATTCCAAACATCCAGGTAGGCTGTGGGTTAGGTTTTTTTCCCTTTATGTTGTCTCTAGTTTCCTTTTGAGGCTCAGGAGGCTTTCGTATCTGTTCATAATACTGGAAAAGTGGAACCTTCAAATTTTCAAAAAGTCTGAAATTGATAAGAAAATATTACTACAGTAAATTTTAGGTGGTTAGGGATATGCAGCATCAGCATAAATGGAGGTCTGTGATATGGCCCTTTTTGATACCAATGGTGAACTCACAAAAGAGGCAAGTTGAATCAGTAAGGAGATATAATTGAAGGTCCCTAATGTGTAAACTATGTAAATTTATGTCTTTCTAAATAGTTTTTTTTTTTTTTAAGAGTCCCTGTGAGAGGGTAACTAAATGACAGGCATAATGACTTAGGATGTGAAAAGAATTACTGCCACATTTATTGGTTTTCTGTTAAATCTGATGAAATCAATATATGTGAAGGTCAAGAAATTTAAAAAGGACTTTTCTTGCGGTTATTTTAGATATGTCTGTTGCACATACTCTCTAAGCTAAAATGTCAGGATCAATTAAGGCATGGAGTAAGCTTCAAATACTTGCTGATGAATGTAACATATAGAATAAATAAAGCTGAAACCTCAATTAAGTGTTGTAGCCAAGAAGTCACAGTGAGCTATACCTCAGAGGCGCTGAGCAGAGAGCAGGGCCCCTGGAAGCTTCTGGTATTAGATCAGCGGATTCCTAGTAAGAGGGAGGAGATGCAACGTCTCAAGAGTTCTTCTACATCTCTTTTAAGGCATATATCTAGCAGAAAACTCAGATACGATCTTTTCTCAGCTGTGTTCCAAGAGAAGACAGCTTTCATTTTGATAAAAATTATTAGAAATTCTTACATATTTCATAAGAGGACTAAATTTGCATTTATTCCATAAACTTAGAAATCTGTATGCAAATCACAGCCTCATAGTTTACCATGTTTAGATTTAACTTTTTTCCGCTTTGGCTCCAAGAATGATTTTTTTAGCAATAAATAAAATGATTTTTTAAATATATAAAGAAATCACTAATAGGCAGTGAATAATGTTATATGGGTATATTTGGTTTTGTTAATGGTGGTTCTTCGAAGAAGACATAGTACATATTAAAAAGCATGTAGTTAGTTGGTCCTTTGGATTGCACAGGAAATGGCACTTAAAAAATTGATACTGATGAGAAAAACATTGGTAGGTGTTTACACTGAAGGGTCTTTATCAGGTTGGCTTACACTTAAAATGCAAGCTCTTTTAACCATACAAAAGAAATGTGCCACAGAGGTTTTGAAAGATGTGATTCTTAACTTTCTACTAATGTTTCATGCCCTTAGTCACATCCATGGAACCTTAGTCTGACTCCCTTCTTTAAAAATGAAAGACATTGTTCAGTTTGCTCCATTTTAGATAAGAAATCCCAATTTGGAATTTTTATTGTCATTAACCAAGTTAAACTCGGGTGTAAACTTGATTTGTCCTGCCTGCCCAGGCACCAGACGTGGTAAATGTTTCAGAGTTCTCGCAGATGCTCACTCATACCCTCAAGTCTGAGGTTTGTTGGCTCTGAGTGGTAGACCAGCTTAGCACTGTCATCCAAGCCCCGTATGAACACGGGTGCTGCCAGGCTGTGTCCACTGGCAGTGGTCAGACAAGTGAAAGCTGGATGTGATGAATTCAGTAGACCTGAGTGAGTCCTGTGCCTTGAAGCATCGGTGGTAGGCACTGACTTTGTCACTAAAATGTCCAGGGAGAATCATAACCCATGAGAAAAGTATTGGGAAGATTTGGATATTCAGAAAAGAGAGTGTTGTTAGTATTAAAATCTGGCTTCATTTTCTGTTCTGTTTATTTCCAAGGAGATGGGAGTTTCAGGCCTGAGCCACGGGGTAATTCGCAATTTGGTTTCCTTCCCATAGACAGCTTGTCTTTGTAGGTTTCAGTTGCTGAAATTTAAGTGTACAGGGTAGTGTTTGGTCCTTACAGAAAACAGCTTTGTTTCTGAAAGTAAACATCGTTGAAAGATTCTCTAATCCACTCCTTCGCCGCTTTCTTAGACTTGAGTGTGTTTTCCTCCTGCCCTGCTGTCTCACTCCTCCCTTTGTGTGTGGGGAGTGGGCCAGCCATCGGCCTGGGCTCCAGGCAGCTTGGCCAGCTGTCAGACTGCAGGGTGGTCCATGTCCTCCCGGAGGCCACGTCTGCCTGCCTCTAACACTTAGCTCTGCGTCTGATCATCCAGCATGTACTACAGCCACTGCTTTGCTTGCTTGCTTCCTTTTTGATCCAAGAGAAGAAGGGCCTGAGTTTTACTGTCTGGTCTTAAGATCCGCTTTTCATTGTTTCAAAATCTTGATCCTATTCACTGGAATCCATGCATCCTAGGTGTGGGCAATAAGGGAAAATCAATGAAATGACCATTTCAAGGTCAGTAGTGCCGTGTTATTGCTGGGGTAGCTGCTACTCCAGGGTCCACTGCTCACTCGTCAGCTTTCACCGACCGGGTTTCGGGTGTCTTGATTCTCCTGGCCTCGGCCTCAGCCTGGAAGCACACACATCCAGCCATCCCCACAGACCAGGTGACAGTGTGGGATCATGTGAGACGTGAGACCGCGCTCCAGTTCCATACATTAGTGACAAATTCCTTTTCAGTTTTTCTGACCTAGTAGCTATTGTTAAGGAAACACTGCAGAGCTGGATGGAGTGAAGGAAGGAAGCAGCACTTCTTTGTTTCTTGGAGAGGAATGCTCTCCAGCAGTTTTCGCCTGCTATGCTGTGGTTCCTTTTGTCACTGTCATCTTGGGAGGAGTGGTTCCCTCCCCTCTCTGCCCTTTTCATTATATACAAGTGGAGAACCTGTCATTCTTACCCAGGTCCTTGTTTTTAACCCAAAAGACTGACAGCAATTCCTTGGCCAACCAGGTGACTCCTCTGCCATTTGGGAGGAGGTGGTTCTTAGTCCTTGCTTGATCTTGAGAAGACAGTTGGCTTAAAGTCAGAGGTTGAATGAATGGGAAGGTTTGGGATTAGAAAAGATGAGTCCTATTCTGCAGACTTTCTTTTACTTCTATTCTTGTTGGGCATCTGTGTGTTCTGAAATTCACCTTTTGTTACCAGTAAGATATGCTTTTACATAATGTATGTGTTTTGGGGGGGGGGGGGGATGAAGTGTTTCTAAGAAAAGTGATTGAGCTAGAAAGAAGATCCTGTCTTGAGACATCTGTAGTTGATGCAAAATATTCGAAACTCAATTACAGTATTTACACATTTTCATCTTTTTTTGGTTTGCTTGATAAGACTGAATGAGGAAGCAGTCTGTAATTATAGCAACATTGCAAGTTTCCACTCTGTAGCTAGGGTAGAGAGAGTGGGTGAGTTGGGGCTAGCCGCATCTGTGCAGCAGCGAAGTAGGACTGCAGGCAGAGGGTCAACCCAGGTAAGTTCCAGCGCAGAGCGTCCTATCACCCCGCCTATGGGAGGCATTTTCAAAAACCTATTACTTGACCTGAACAAAAATCGGTTCCATTGTGCCCTCTGCTGACCTCTGGGGAGTTGAAATGAGCATAGGCAAAGGAAGTCTTTTGGTGCTTTTTATCTTTTGAGAAGTGGGAGAGCCAGGAAGAAGCCTTTCCAGTTGGACAGCAACCTACACTGTTTCCATTACAAGATTTAGTATGTGAAATACATTTTCATTTTCATACCTTCTGAGTTGTTAGGTCATCAGCATCTTATAGAAGAGCCCCAGTTGGTAGGATTTGAAGGTGAGTTAATTATGGTCCAAATGGGTTATTAACTGCCATGTTATCTTGCTTCGCTACACAATTTTAAAACTAGAAATGTACATTTATGTCCTTAAAGAGTATACAGAGCTGTTTTATTTGCTAAGGATGTGAATATTTATAGCCCATGGATCTGGGGCTTTGTAATCTGGGATTGAACCTCTTAGGGCAGTATGGACTGAAACAACTCTTTAGAAGTTAAGATTGACTTAAACATACTCAAGGCCATATTTTAGCTGGTATTAGAAATTAATATCATACAGAACCTCATAAATCTTATGGAATTTCTGAGTTATTGGCCTCACTGAATGTCAGGAATAAAAGAAACTGGTAGCAGCTTTGTTTTCAAGCAACGGCTTGTCAATTGCTGCTTGACTCCAATTATTTGTAAATCCAAATAAGAGGAGATCTTATTGTCAGGAAAACATTACCTTCCAAGCTTGGCGTCTGCCTTTAAGAAGGGAAAGTGGAAGAGAGAGTGAGACATGAAACCAAAAGAGTGAACAGGGTTGGTGGGATTAGATGGCACCTAGGTTTTGCACCAAAGTTTCAAATACAAATAAATAAAGAGGAGGACCACTTGCAAGACCACTTAGGAAGGACTTGCCAGAAAGTCGCAGCTCCTGCTGCACACTAGTGCCTTCAAAATGATTCTCTGTGTGAATTGCATGCAATTTCATGTAACCATGAAGTGTAACCTGTATGTGCATGATGTGTCTAGAATGTGTAAAGTTCAGCAGAAAAGGTATAGCTAACCCTGTCAGTGGTGGATCAGCAAGCCTGCTGGAAGTCCTTGGACTTAATGTGACTTAGGTCTGCTGCATCAGAGCCCTGTGTTTGCTTTTAGCAACCATGTCTTTGAAATCAGATCCACTCCTCCCTTTCTACTTCCTTTCCTACTTTGCAGATTTGCTGGTTTTAACTGCTTCACTCTTCTGCTTCTTGGTATCCTCTTGTTTTGAAATAAAAAGATGAAATACTTAAGACAAAGAGTTGTTTTTATTTTACCAGTTGCTCTTATCAAAGATGTGATGTGAAAGAGTTTGTTTGGCTCTCTTGACTGTGATTCTGACCTTAAAATATGTTCAGTTGTAAACACTTTCTCTGGGCCTCCTGCATGTCTCCCCATCCCTAAGAAAGGTGTCAGGCACTGCTTTCATCTTCTTGAATGCTGCTCTGCACTTCTGTCTAACCGTGTCCACGGAAGAGAGCGCTGTTCTTGATGGAGCCACCTGAGCACCACCTGGGATTCCAGGTGACGATAGTGGTAAAGTACCCACCTGCTTATGCAGGAGACCAAGGAGACATGGGTTCTATCCCTGGGTCGGGAAGATCCCCTGGAGGAGGGCATGGCAACCCACTCCAGTATTCTTGCCTGGAGAATCCCACGGACAGAGGCGCCTGGCGGGCTACAGTCCATAGGGTCACAACGAGACACGACTGAAGCGCCTGATCAGGCATGCAAGCACCACCTAGACTCTTGGAGCAGCCTGTCAGATAAATGCAGGGCTGCAGATACATGCCCCCTGGTTTTCTCTGGGCTACTGGGTACTTTTCAGTGAGTGCGTGTTAAGTCACCTTAGTCATGCCCAACCCTTTGCGACCCCATGGACTGTAGCTCACCAGGTTCATCTGTCCATGGGGTTCTCCAGGCAAGAATACTGGAGTGGGTTGCCATGCCCTCCTCCAGGCGATCTTCCCAACCCAGGGACTGAACCCGCCTCTCAACGTCTCCTGCATTAGCAGGCAGGTTCTTTACCACTACCGCCACCTGGGAAGCCCAACTGTATTTCGTCTGTAACCGACCGCAGTCACTGCATGCAGATACCGGGAGCACTTTTGGAGTTTAGAAAGCAGAGGGCACCTGAGGCTGTGAGTTCCTCCCGCTCTTCCTGGATTTCCTAGAGGCCAATTACCTTTCAGCCAAGAATATCCACAAGCTTGTGGTTTGTAAGGAGCTTGATGGTACATTCATGCAAATGATGTGACCATTTAAAAGGCCTCATTTTAACCTCTGCATTTTTTTTCCAGACTATGGAGTCAGGGAAGTGAAAGAAGTTTTTTCATAGCCTGAAGTAGAACAGCTTGAGTGATTTCCTTTTTCACCAGCCTCATTTCTGGCTGAGTTTCTTCACCTCTCCTCCCCTTTTCACCGAGGCTCACGGGGGCAGGGAGGGGGGTAGGGTGGGGTGGAGGATGGGGGCACTGTGATCTTTGGTTTCCCTTGCTCTTGGAGACCATGATGTTCATTTCAGGTTCAATCCTGTGATATATAGCAAAGAGGTTATCCTAAGAGACTATATGATAAAAAGATCTGCCAGGGTCCTTAGTTGCAAGTAAGATGCTCTCTTGGAGTTTATTATTGTGAGATAAGATACCCTGAGATGCTGCATCAACAGTTACGTGACAGTGAGGTGTGCCAAGGGAAGGCAGCCACCCCCACAGTGGCCTCAACCTTGGGGGCTTGGTGCTTCTGCTCTTAGCCAGAAAGTTCAGTGTCTGGGTTTTTGCCACACCATTCCAGGTCAAGCTTCGTGGCCTGGCTGCAGACGGCCGAGGGTCCCTACCACAGATGGGCCAGGCTGATAGTGACATTCAGTAGCAAGAACTGAACACAACCCCTCTGACCTTGCCAGACCAGTGGAGGTCATGTAGGTCAAGTTCACAGCACCTCTGTGGGCCGGGTGTAAAGAGCCACAGTCCTGCCATTTTTCTTGGGCCACAGGGTCTGTCCTAACAAAGGCTGAGGGGGTTATTGTAATGCTGAACTGATGTTGCTAATGTCTGTGATGCCATCTGTGGGGAGGAGACATTGCAGATCTAGTCTTCAAAGCTCTTTGATGGGAGTCACCTGGGATGTGGCAGTGATTTCTATTCTTTTATGATTATGTTTATCATCAGTCCCAGGCACCCAGAACAAAAATTCATATGGACAGCCTGGACGCTGGAAACGATGCACAGTACGGAGTTGTGTCTTTCCTGTTTCTGCTCATGAAACTGAGCAGAGAGCACTGGGACCCTGCAGACTGGTCCTGTCAACCCGGAGAGGCCACCGCCTCTCTGCAGTGGAGCCTGATGCCTGAAGTGAGGGCAGATGATGCCTCCCAGGCCCCTGCACTGGGGGCCGCCCAAGCCCACACCAAGGCTGCAGTCAGGAGTTCTCACAGCCAGCGTTCCCACCACATTTTAGCTCCTTTTTTAAATTTTTTTAAACTTGAAGTAAAACACATAGGGGCTTCCTAGGTGGCGCTAGTGGTAAAGAACCTGCCTGCCAATGCAAGATACATAAGAGATGCAGGTTCAATCCCTGGGTCGGGAAGATCCCCTGGAGGAGAAAACGGCAACCCACTCCAGTATTCTTGCCTCGAGAATCCCACGGACAGAGGAGCCTGGCGGACCAAAGCCCATGGGGGCACACAGAGCTGGACACGACTGAAGTGACTCAGCATTGGCAAAGCACATGGAAAGTGCACTTACATGTAAAATGCACTAACTTGACACAGAAGATACACCCATTGGGCAGCACCCAGATCAAGAAAAGACATGGCCATGACCCCAGTGCCCCCTTGTGTTCCCTTCCATCTGCACCCAGGAGAAATATTTCTGACTAACCCCATGGATGAATTTTGACAGTTTTTGTGCTTTATTTGAAGGGATTTGTGCTTTTTCGTGTCTTAATATTGAAGTAAGCCAGAAAGATAAAGACCATTACAGTATACTAACACATATATATGGACTTTAGAAAGATGGTAACGATAACCCTATATGCAAAACAGAAAAAGAGACTCAGATGTATAGAACAGACTTGTGGACTCTGGGAGAAGGCGAGGGTGGGATGTTTCAAGAGAACAGCATTGAAACATGTATATTATCTAGGGTGAAACAGATCACCAGCCCAGGTTGGGTGCATGAGACAAGTGCTCGGGCCTGGTGCACTGGGAAGACCCAGAGGGATCGGGTGGAGAGGGAGGTGGGAGGGGGGACCAGGATGGGGAATACATGTAAATCCATGGCTAATTCATTTCAGTGTATGACAAAAACTACTGTAATGATGTAAAGTAATTAGCCTCCAACTAATAAAAATAAATGGAAAAAAAAAATATATTGTATGTGAGTTTCCCTTATAATGTGTGCGGCGGCGATGGTTCTCACTGTGTTTCAGCAGCCCCCAGCTCGGAACCCCCAGGGCTAGCAGTGCTGTGAATGTCCAGCCAGTGTGTGTCTTTGGTGACCACGGGGATGCGCTTCTCGTGGGCACCTACCTGGGAATAGAACTGCTGGCCGTAGCCCACATCTGTGTCCAACTTCAGATACTGACTCACTTTTCAAAACACTCCTGACAGCGATATATCAACGTTACACTGGTGCATGTGCCCCCAATGCAGCCCGCCGTCCACAGGGAACGTCAAGTGGAAGCAGCAAGCTCGCCTCCCCCGAGCTTCCTCGGGAGTCTGATTTGCTGTCCTGGAAACAGGGGGTTAAGGACTTTTCTCACACATTTTCCTTGCCCTCT